CAAGGCTATTTGCTTTTTCCAGCCCATGTGGGCTAGGGGTATTGATGGTGACCATTGGGTATGCTAGTGTATGTAGGTCTCTGCTATTTTTCCCAAAATGCTGTGGCTTACATGTGACTGCTGGAGAACCAATAGGGTGGGGAAGTCTGTGCCTTCATCCCAGGCTGGTTACAGCCGGAAGCCCTCACTACACATAGTACACAAAAGTATGCAGAGCTAGCTGGGGATAGTTTTAGGAAAACCTAGTGATGGCTGTTGAAATTTGTTTAGGGGTAGGACTCATTCCACGCAATTTCCACCAGTCTGCTCTGAGTTAAGAGTGTCTGAATGAAACTAGCTGCCAATCTGGCTCCAGGCTTTCCCTGCCAAACTTCTAAATGGTCGCTGGTGGATTGCCAACTCCTGAAAGAGAACTGAGACCCAACACTCAGTGCCAGCCAGTGCAATTCTCCAGTCTGCTGCTCCCCTCTGTAGTCACATCTCCATGTAGAGCTGCTTTTGTTTGTGAGCCATCACACTAACTGTGACTGTGCATCCTCTCGTTTCAGTAGCTTTTCCTGCGTGGTGGTTCTGGCTCCTGGTCAGTGTGCTCCCACCTATGGCCTTCTGCTCTTTAAATCTTTCTTTTTTTCTTCTCTTTAGGCTTCAGTTTTGACTTTAGGGTCTTCCTGGGTCAAGGGGACCCACTTCCTTCCTTCTTGCTTCCCCAACAATGCTATATTCCAGCATCTGGACTGTTTCTGTCAGAAAGATTGTTTACTCTGCTGCTCACTCCTCTGGACTAAAAATTCTACAAAATTTGGAACAAAGCACATTAATCTTTTTTAAATTGTGGGCATTGTGAATTGTCTAGCAATGTTGATAAAGTTGTTGAAGATACAATTTTTCAGTTATAGCATCTTGATGACACTAGTAGTTTATGTGGACTTCTGTGAATCTAAATGCAGCTGAAGATTGTGTCTCTGCCACAACTTGAAATTAAGATTGAATCACTATTTCAAAGAAAAGAGACCTTATGTTAGCTACTATTGATGTGAAGTGTTGTGTTGCTTGCATTTTCCTATTCTATTTTGCTTTGTTTCATTCTGCTTTTTGTGCTCTCTTTAAATTAAAAAAAAGAAATTAAGATTGAATTGTAATGAAAAGAAATGTTCCACACTATGTATCAGATTTCTTCACTCTTTAGTTGCCCTTGTGTTTTCCTGTGTCTTTATTTTGGCTGCCATCTGAAGGGTCGATTGCTGAAAGACAGCAGATATCCTCCTAGAATACAGTTTACCTTCCCTGAACTTAAAGGGATTTTGGGTCTTTGATATCTGTAATAGAGAACCTTTTGCATGAAGCTGGGATTAGGGTGAATAAGTTATTACATTACTGACATGGAAGTCCTGTACCAATCATCTTAGGCTTGGACCTTTTGTTACCCCAATAATATGATAGCTGATAATTTTTGGTAAGATGCCTCAGTATTACAGATCTCTGGATAACATTTCTTAGTCCATCTTGAAGCTCTTGATGATGAGGATAAGAAGTAGGAAGGATTTTTCAATAAATCCAGTTAGGAATGACAGTCCTATTCCCATCATCTCTCCACACAGAACGGTCCATTTGTAATCCTAGCAAGGGAAACATTAGATAGCCTCTGTTCTAGTGAGAACAGGAGTACTCCAGGGCTTGCACAAGAATGTCTCCACAAAGTGCAGTAGGGATTGCAGGAATTCTAAGAAGTGTATGGCTAAAATGTACTTCAACACAGGAACAGATCATACGCTTACAGAAGTGTTCTAAGGGTTGTCCTGAGACTCCTATAAAGGTGTTAGTGTTTAGGATAAGTGTCTTGGAAATAAATCAGGAGAGAAGCTAGTGACAGTACCAAATTCACAAGTTAATAAACACACAAATAAAGATTTTTCTGGACCTGCAATTGATAAGTAGAAGTTAAGCCATCGATAATATGATGTGTCCCCTATCCCCTGAACTGAGAATTCTTCACCCTAAAAGCTCTACCACTGGAACTAGTCAGCAGACTGAGGCATAGATTCTAAACTCTTGCCCCAAAAGTTGGCCATATGTGAGAATGTATTTTCATGTGTATCTGAAAAACCTGCTTAAGCCATTTCTGATAATAAAAACATTCCCGGTATGCTTTCTCATTAGGAGGGTTAAAGAGGAATTAAATAGCCAAGTGCATTAGAGTTATGAAGCGTTCTCTAATGAAAAGGCTATAATTAACTTGGTGTTTTGGAATACAGGCCATGGAGTACCAATAGTCTGATAAGAGAGGGAAGAGTAATGCTGCATGAATCAGAGCCATTCCAATTTTCCTTCTAACTCAGGTAGTAATCCAAGGGACACACAAACTGGTTCATCTTGCTGTACTATTGTTGGTTCTCCTGCCTTTCTCTGGATACTTTATTCTCTCTACATTGAAGACATGAGGAAATGAGGCAAAAGCACTGCCTTTGTGTCAACAGCAATGCATCTAGTAGAATATCAGAAAGTTAGGATTAAAGTAATGTGTGTCAAAGTTTATTTATTGTATGCCGAATGCAGGACAAATGCTGTCTTAGCCGCAGACTGGATTGTAAGATTGTCTCATTGCCAAATAGTTTTCTGATATATTCATTTGGATAATGTAGTTTCTAAAAATAACTTTTGCTGGTTGGTGCACTCTAGGCCAATTAGTTTCTTAGCCTTTCTTTCTATAGACCATAAAAGATCAGTTGGGTCTCAAACACACTATAAATGCACATGATCGTTTTACAAGGAACAGATAGTGCAAGCAAATTAGAAACAATAAACAAGGGTTGTGCATGTGAAGTCCCATTCCTCATCATGCAGTGAGTGCAATGATTGATTTGAGACTCATGATGCATGTGCGAGGTTTCAGTGTGGGTGATACTGCTGCATTTTGTGCCTTGATTTTTCTCCCAGCAGCAGACCAGTTACTGTGTTTCATATCTACAATGCCTTCTAAATATCACATGACCTTGCAAGTTGATTGGTTTGAATGGGCCCTCTCCTCTTCAGTGAATTCATTCACTGTTGATTTCAGTATTAGAATGTGGTGTTGGGAAGTAGGGAATTTTTGGAGTCATATCACAAAGAACAGGGCATGGAAAACTGTACTCTTGTTTGCAGATCCTACCAACTTTCCCTCTGTCAACATTGCCATGACTTAAATACTTTGCTTTCACCTTTCTATTTTGCCAACTACTTTGGCACTTGGATCCAGCAGACAAGGTTTTGAACTTGTAGGGCAATAGAAATTCCTCAGAGTTTATTTAATACTTTGTCTCAGTAAAAGAATGGAAACTAGGCCACCAAGGTATAATATGCTAAATTTTATGAAAGTTTAGGTTTCGGGTCTTACTGAAAACTGAGAATGGTGAATGGTGAATGCTGCATAAGTCCAGATAAACAACTACTAGTGTCATCCTGGTGAATGGTGTTCTGTCTCCCATCCAGCAACTTAGCCCAGAGATTTAAAAAAAAGACAGAAAGATCTGCAGTTCCCAGAGATCTTACTGGGAACCAGTAGATCTTACTGGAAAACAGCAGTTCTTACTGGAAAACAGCCAATGAATCTGAATGCCCTAGAGTTTTATCAGTACTAATTGGGGAGGTAAACATGGGTTATAGCAGAGTTCATGGAAGGAAACCTTTACAGGCATGGCTTGTATTAAAGAAACAAAGCAGTCTTGTACCAGGCACAGAGGCTCCCCAATTAGTGGTGCAAGAGATAACCTGATGTGGGAAAGACTGGCACTTTTACTGCTACAAAGCTATAATTCCTTTTGAGTCTCATTGCATCAATTGAGATGTTATCACATGTTTTCACCCTGGAATCTGACATGAGTTTGGAGAAACGTTTTCACTGGAAAAAAGAATGAAAAAAATGTCAAGCACAACTTTAATAAGGGGTTAATATAAATACAAACTGAATCTCCTTGAGGTAGGGCATCTGCATATGCTTTGTGTATGGATGGAAAGGTATAAAAAGCAAGTTCTCTCACATAATTGCAATGGTGCATGAATGGTTTGTAGATATTATTTCAAAAAATGAAAATTCTAGCTGGGTGTGGTGCCACATGACTGCATTGCTAGTACTCAAGAGGTTGATATGGTGGGATTCTTGGATGTTCAGTTTCACCCTGGGCTACACAATCAGTTCAAGCCCAGTCTTACTTACAAGGGAAAAACCTGTCTCAAAAATAAAAACCTGACATACTGAATGAGGTAGTACAAAGTGTAGAAGTCGTATTAAAGCAGGTGAAAAGAGCCAATTGCAGGTCTGCAGACATATCAGTAATTAAGTGGAGAATGGTGTTCTGTTATTAGAAGAGCTCATGAAAATACATACAACATGGGAAAGCAGTAGATGGTGGTGACAGGCAGTAACATTTTCTGAGCAAGAAATTTCCCTATGAAAAATGCCTGTTGTGTATAAAAATATATGATTATAATAGTGCTCAGTTAAATTCAGCATAATATATTATACATTTTGTGACCAAAATCTTGTAATTTTTATTGTTGGGAATATGCAGTGACCATTTTGAAAGGCATGCTTGCTGGCTTCTTTCTCTCAGTATCTGAATTAGAGATAAGTTGTGTGTTGTATAACTTTTATTGGAGTGCAGAATCTAACACTATGATAATTTTATTGGTGTGCAGAATCTAACACTATGATAACTGCACAAACTGCAGTTATATACACTCCTTTTTGTCACAAGCCACATGAAGCAGCTTTTTTTGTTACTGTTTCATTTGTTTTCAGTCAGAGTCTCACAATGTAAATCATGCTGATGTTGAACTCCTTCTGTAGCTCACAATGGTCTTGTAGTCATGATGGTCTTTTTACCTCAGCCTCCTGAGTGCTGAGATTACAGACATGTATCACCACACTTTGCTCTCAGTTACACTTTTTTAAGAGAGGAGTTCACATTTTCCAGGCTGTTAGTCTCAATTTTCTTTCAAGAAATATATGTATGATCCTCTAGGAATCAGTGACCTTTGAAGATGTGATTGTGAACTTCACCAGTGAGGAGTGGACTTTGCTGAGTGCATCCCAAAAGCAGCTCTACAGAGATGTGATGGGGGAAACTTTTCAGAACATTGTGACTATAGGTAAGAATGAAATCTCTTTCTTATTGATATACTCAGAGGAGATTTTTTTTACTCATCAGTGCAGTTTCATTTAAACAGGATGTGAAAACAATTAGAAAAATTAATCTGGCCTGCTTATATTATATCATGAATCTAATTGGCATGTGTTAATTTTTATGTAATAATGTAGTGACCACTTGTACTTCTGTGTCTGTAATTCAGGAAGACTCTTGGGTAACCAGAAAGTGGAAGAAGAGTGCAGTAACTACTGTAGAAATCTAAGGTAATTTGAACTTTCAAGAAAAATGTATAAGCCTTTAGACACCACATAAGGAAAAGGACTAAAATCAAAAAACCAACACCATCTTTAAATTTCTTTAATTTCACAAATACTCTCCAAAACTATATGCAGCTTGAGTATGTATAGTCTGAAAAGTAAACACAAAAATATTCCAACATAAGAAATGGATTTATAAGTGAAATCATACAAGTGACACTGTCTGATGTGTAATACAAAAAAATGTTTCTTTATCATCAACATCAAGAACATGTATGACATTGTTGTTAGGTTGTTTGTGTAGCTGTAGATGAGAGGTGATAGATAAAGGAAAGTGGTATTTTAGAGATAGGAAAGACAAACAGGATAAGAGTAGGACCTGAAGAGTAAATAGGAAATGGTGTTAAAATTAATCAACATGTGTTATGCATATATATGTAACTCAAAATAAAACTAAAATTACTCTTATAAAATATACCAACTGAAAATTTTCCAAAAATATAACAGTCTTTAGGGAAAAGCTTTCTCCAATATCCCTGATTTGTATTCTTTTAATTCATTATCAAAATTCTTAACAGGCATCAAAAAAGAACATGTGCTGTTAAATCATTGATATAGAGAGGTGTTTTATTTGGTCTTTTTTATTTTTACAGAAATGAAGATGTTGAGAAATACTATCAATATAAGGGTTGGAATCAGCATAAAGAATGCTTCCTCTGCTCTCAAGATGCTAATGTGCATATGAAACCATGTGGTTTAACGTCACCTGAAAGCCTTACTTGTAGAAAGCTTCTGATTGGGCCTTTTTCACTAAACATGCCCATCATAAGTCACACTGCAGTAAAGACAGATGAGTATTGTGAACTCAAAGGGAAGCTGTTTAAATGTAATGAAAGTAGAAAACACTGTGATGATTTGCAGTCCTTTCAGAATCCTGCAAGGACAGAAGCTGGCAAGAAACCACGTGAACATGATCAGTGTGAGAAATCCTCCTCTGGTCTTAGTGAAAGAACTCATCTTAGCGACAAGATATTTGCATGTCCAAAAATTACGAATGCCTCCAGGAAGGCCAGTGATGTTCAGATCTATCAGACAAATCACAGGTGGGGTATATCCTCTGCATGGAAGCAATGTGGGAAAGCTTTCAGCACACAGTATCATTATAAACTACATGAAAGCTCTCAAACTGGTTTGAAACCTTACATATGTAAGCAATGTGGGAAAGCTTTCAGTATAAAGAGCAATTGTAAAAGACATGAAATAACTCACACTGGTGAGAGACCTTATGTATGTATGCAGTGTGGAAAAGGTTTCATCAGACAGAGTCATTACAAACTACATGAAAAAACTCACACTGGAGAGAAACCTTATTTATGTAAGCAATGTGGAAAAGCTTTCAGTACACAGTGGTATTGTAAACTACATGAAAGATCTCATACTGGTGAGAAAGATTATGTATGTAAGCAATGTGGAAAAACTTTCAGTACAAAGTCAAATTGTAAAGCACATGAAAGGACTCACCCTGTTGAGAAAGTTTATGTATGTAAGTACTGTGGGAAAACTTTCAGTATGCAGAGGAATTGTAAAATACATGAAAGAACTCACACTGGAGAGAAACCTTATGTATGTAAGAAATGTGGGAAAGCTTTCACTACAAAGGCAAATTATAAAGTACATGACAGATGTCACACTGGTGAGAAACCTTATGTATGTATGCAATGTGGAGAAGCTTTTAGGACACACAGGAGTTATAAAAGACATGAAAGATCTCACACTGGTGAGAAACCATATGCATGTAAGCAATGTGGAAAAGGTTTCAGTACACTGTGGTACTGTAAACTACATGAAAGATCTCACACTGAAAAGAAACCTTATGTATGTAAGCAATGTGGAAAAGCTTTCAGTACACAGGCGTATTGTAAACTACATGAAACATCTCACACTGGAGAGAAACCTTATGTGTGTAAGCAATGTGGGAAAACATTCACTACAAAGTCAAATTGTAAAGCACATGACAGACGTCACAGTGTTGAGAAACCTTACGTATGTAAGCAATGTGGGAAAGCTTTCAGTACACAGGGGTGTTGTAAACTACATGAAGCATCTCACACTGGAGAGAAACCTTATGTATGTAAGCAATGTGGGAAAGCTTTCAGTAGACAGAAGTATTGTAAAAGACATGAAAGAACTCACACCGGTGAGAAACCTTATGTATGTAAGCAATGTGGGAAAGCTTTCACTACACAGGGGTATTGTAAACTACATGAAACATCTCACACTGGAGAAAAACCTTACGTATGTAATCAATGTGGGAAAGCTTTCAGTAGGCAGAGCTATTGTAAAAGGCATGAAAGAACTCACACTGGTGATAAACCTTATATACGTAAGCATTGAGGGAAAGCATTCAAACACAGGAGTACTGTAAACTACATGAAAGATCTCTCACTGGGAGAAAGCTGATATATGTAGCAATGTGGAAAAATTTTCAGCGCACAGAATTATTGTAAACTTCATGGAAGATCTCACACTAGAGAGAAACCTTATGTATGTAAGCGATGTGGGAAAGCTTTCAGTACACAGAAATTGTAAACTACATGAAAGATCTCATACTCATGAGAAAGATTATGTATGTAAGTAGTGTGGAAACCATTGATCACACATAATTATTAATATTAAAGAATTCATACTGCAGAGAAACCCTTTGTATGTAAGGAATGTGGGGAAGGTTTCAGTAGAAACAGTCATTGTCAGAGACATGAAAAAGCTCAAAATGGAAAGAAACTACACATGTGTGCAAGTTTTTAAGTTTCGGTACATATAATTATTGTCAAATAAATGAAAGAAGCCACAGTGTAAAAACCCTATATATGCAAGCAATGTAAAGATATTTTGTAAATCTTCATTAAACAGATGTTAAAGCTCATTAAGGAGAAACCCTATGTCCATAAACCATCTGGAAAAAGATTCAGTGCACACAGTCCATTACTATATATATTTTATATCAAATCAAACAGGATCACTAGGAAGAAACTATATATGTAAGTCTATTTTAAAAACCCTGTTAAGATGTTTCAGTTGGTGAAATTCTGCAGAAATAATACACAGTATTTTATGTCAGTGTTTCCTTAGATATGTTCTAAATAAATCCCAGATGAATATATGACAAAATATGTACATTATGTGGTTTATAATGTATCACATATGTAGATTATTAATGTGCAGTGTTTAAAAATATTGAGTTGCCACAATGAGGAATTTTTATCTCAGTGTCTGTGCTTAATCCACAATGTCTTAATTAAGCGTGGTTGATCAAACTGTATTTTTGACTTTCAAGTACCATTAGGATTTGTGCTATTTTTATTTTATCCTTAAGTTTGGGAAGAATAGACCATTAAATATCTTGCTTTTGTAATTTTTGCTATTAGAATTTTGCACTATTTTGCTTTTCAATTACTGTGTGGGTTTTCTATATTCAGTGTAACAAAGGATATTTTTAACTTGATGCTATATTTTCTATTGATATCTATTTTCAAAGACTTGTCAACATGAGTTTTTGACACAGTTGAATTGTGTTCACAAAGCTTGTAGATTAGCAAATTTTGTTTTTCATGTGACATGACAAGATTCCTGCTTGTATACCAACAGCACTGTATATTACATCATACACATATATTGCGTACTTTTATTTCAATGCATTGATTTCCATAGGTTTTTTTTGTGTGTGTGTGTGTGTGTGTGTGTGTGTGTGTGTGTGTGTGTAAAATGTTTATGTTTACATTGCAATGGCTTAATTTTCTTCACTGGTAGTTTTTTAAACATAGATACCAAACATAAACCATACTGCTCACTATTTTTCATTGCCAGAACCCCACTGTTGTAGAATTCAAGATATCAGACCTAAGGGATTGGACTGGAAACTGGCTGGGGCAATCAATGGCATGGAAACAATCAGAGCAATTTATAACAGCCTTGAAAGAAGACAAAACTTATAAATCCTGTAAGAACAAGATGACAGAAATTCTTCACAGTACATAGTTGTAAATCTTACCTCTAGCAGAACAGCAACAAATAGCTACAGGGGAAGAGGGGGAACTTTAGCAAGATTCATCTCAATGTCCAATTTCACCACATGACCATAACTTGTCTTTATAGGAAATCATTATTTACAGTAATCTTTCCAGGATATGTATATTATGATATATCAACCATAATAACACTTTGAATGGAATGCTCATCATCTGTGAAACTTTTTCAGGAGCATGGTCACTACCAAGTATTATGAGATTAATGCCTTTATTCTATTGCCTAGTGCACTGATGCCAAAATATTTTTGGTAATTATTGTTTGTACATAGGAAGCTAAAATACTGGCATGAAGAAAAATCATTAAAAGCAGAAGTGTGTGAAGTTTTTATTTATCATGTGTTCTTAACCATTTTAGGATACATTTCTATGATGATATTTTTCATCGATTGTTAAGGTCAATCATTTAGTTTTTTTTATTTTTAAAGAGGGTAAAATTAAACAACAAAACATCACAAAGTAAGAATGTAAGAGACACAGATCCCAAAGCAGGACAATTGGAGATCTTCACTTTCTATAATATTATCTCTTATTTTCTTCCAAATATTTGTCCAGATTTTCACATAGAATGAATTCATACAAAACAAAATAGTATAGAACTGATCAGAACCCGATAATGAATGTATTTTAGGTCTTCAAGACCAAAAAATAAGGAAGTCAACAATGGCTACCATAATGTCTCTCATTCTTTTCAAAATAGATGTCCATACTTTCATGTATGTTGAAATTAAATGAAACAAAACAATAAAATCAGTCTGACCAAAGGGTAATAGTATTGCTGGATTTCACATTATGATGCTATGGAATCAGCACTGGGTATCTAAGTGGCTCTTTAAAGTAGCTGTTCATTTCATCATGCATTCTATTATCGATTTTCATCAGCTTTTTAGAAGTTATATGCATGCATGATATACACATACCTCTCTTCTCTGTATACAGGGGAAAGCAAAACAAACCCATACACTACAAAACAAATTCACACAATTTGAACTGTGAATGAAATGAAAAACACATATAAACAATAGCAAAAACCCAGAACACTGACAAGTATAGGCTTTAAAAACAAGGTGTTATGGGCAAAACTAGGGTTTTTATTTTACATGATGATCTTCAAGAGTTCCTCAGATAGCTATACAATAATATGTACAAATCTCCAATTCCTATGAATGTTAACTATTTTGTTCCAGGAACTTACAGTGTTTGCAGTGCAATCATGTAAGCTATCCTAAGTGTGTTTCCTTTTGCTTTTTCCTCATTTTCCCGGAGATAATATTTTCCCCTTTAAGCATATCCTTTTCATTTCATTGTAATCATTCCAGTTTTTGTATTTTATGTACTATTACTATTTTTATACTAGGGAGACTAAGTTATTTAGATCTGTGATTTTGATTTATTTCACTTAGGAGTATGGTCTCTACTTGCATCCATTTACTTATGAACTTTTCAATGTTATCATTCTTTATAGCATAGTAGTACTCCATTTTGTAAAAATATCACATCATTAATCCATTCTTCGGTTGATGGTCATTTAGATGGTTTCCAAGATGTGGCTATTACAAATTGTGTTGCTATAAACTTGGATGCACATATACAATTGTGGTATAATGTTGTCAGTTGTTCTGGGAATAAGTCCAGAAGTAGGAGAGCTGGGTCAAATGGGACTTCCTAACCCAACTTTTTGAGGAACCTCCAAACTGACCTGCAAAGTAATTGTACCACATTACACTCCCAAAAAATAGTGCAGAAGAATTCCTTTTTACACTCAACGTCTCCAGCATTTTTGTTGGTAGTTTTCTTAATCTTTCTTAATTTTGGGAGAATGGCCATCTTCACAATGTTTGTTCTTCCTATCCATGAGCAAGGGATGTCTTTCCATTTTCTGAGATCATCCTCACTTTCCTTTTTCAGTGTATTATAATTTTCACTGTATAAGTCTTTCACTCCTTTTGTAAGAGTAATTCCTAAATATTTCATTTTTTTGCTTGCTAATGTGAATAGTCCAGTTTCTCTTATTTCCCTCTCTGTGATTTTGTTGTTCGTGTATAGGAATGCTATTGATTTCTGAGTATTGATTTTGTATCCAGCCACATTACTGAATTTATTTATTGTATCTAAGAGTCTTTCAATGGAGTTTAGGGGGTCTTCTATGTAGAGTATCATGTCATCTGGAAACAATGATAATTTAACTTCTTCTTTTCCTATCTTTACCCCTTTTATTTCTCTTTCTTGCCTAATTGCTCTGGCTAGTACTTCCAGTACAGAATGGCTACTCCTGCCTTTTTTTGGATTCCTGCTGCATGAAAAATTGTTTTCCATCCTTTGACTTTCAGTCTGTGAGTATCCTTCTGGGTTAGATGGGTTTCCTATAAACAGCATATGGTTGGATTTTGTTTCTTGATCCATTCTGCTAGTCTGTTTCTTTTGATTGGTGCATTGAGACCATTTACATTAATGGTTATTACTGTTAAATGCTGGTTTATTGTTGACATGTTATCTCTGCTGTTGCATCTTTATCTTTCTGTTCTGTTTAATTATTTGCTTTGCTTAGTGGTTTTTTCCTTTGTGTATCTAAACTGTCAATATTTTTTGCAGGGTTGGTTTGGTGTTCATGAAGTTCTTCAGCTGTTCTTTGTCATCGAAGTATCGTATTTCACCATCAATTTTGAATGATACTTTTTCAGGATACATCAGTCTAGGTTGGAAATCATTTTGCTTTAGGATCTAGAATACTTCACTCCATGCTCTTCTTGACTTTATTGTTTGTGCTGAGAAGTCTGCTGTGATTCTGATAGGTTTTCCTTTATAAGTTATCTGTCTTTTCTCTCTGACAGCTTTTGATAATCTATTCTTGTGTTGGATTTCTGGGATGGTGATTATTATATGTCTGGGTGTAGTTTTATTTTGGTTATGACTATTTGGAGTTATATATGCTTCACTGATCCTGATGTCAGTTTCTGATCTCATGCTTGGGAAATTTTCAGCTATTACTGCTCTAAATATCCCCTTGACATGCTTAATGTTGTCTCCTTTTTAATTAATACCTATCATTCTTATGTTATTCTTCTTTGCATTGTCTTGCAGTTGTTGAATTGTTGTTTCCTGATTCCTTATTATTTTTAAAAGATCTTTCCTTTTTGTTCACTAGCTGCAATCCTGTCTTCAAGGTCTGAAATTCTATCTTCATTTTCATTAAGGTGGTTTTTACAACTTTCAGTGGAGTTTTTTATTTCCTGTATACCTCTGTGCATCTGCATTATGTATTCTGCTTGTTTCCTATATTGCTCGTATAGGGATTCTATCTTTTTGTTTAGTTCCTCCAATTTTTTTTATCTGTGTTTTCTTTAGATATATTCAGAATGTCTTTCATTTCTTTTATCATTTTTTTCTTTTATCTGGGAGATTATTTCGAGTTTGAATTTCTTTAAAGCTTCCTGGAGTTGCTTGTCAATTTCAGTAGCTATTGTGTCCGATATATGAGGTGGATGGGATATATTTTCTTCTATATACATTGCTCCTAGGGTTTCTTGAGATGGGCTGGAGGTTTGAGGTTGTAATTTGGTCTTTCGTTTTGTCATTTTCCTATATTTCTGTGTTTCAAGTGTTATTTGAAAGCTTCTTCAGGATCTGCTGAAAATCCCCTTCTATGTTTGCAGCTACTGAAACTCTGGCACCACGCTACCCCAAGCCATTGGGCCTGCAGAATCAATGGCCCTCCTCTGCCTGCTCAGAACTCCGCAGTTCCAGAGAAGCTGGGCCTCAGGGACACTGTGCGCCCACCTGCCCCTTGGAAGCTCCACAGTTCTTCAATCACAGCTGGGTTAGGGTACTCACCACAGGCCGCAGTGCCTCAGGAACCTGTGATCCCTCCCTGCTTGCAGAGATATCCACAGTCCTCCAGACACATGGAGAGGCCGATGCAGGCACCCCAGATCCGCACAGCTCCTCCTCTGCACACCGATGGCTAGGCGCGGCAGTGAAACAGGCTGGGCTCCGGGAATAGCATGGGCCTGCCTACCAGTCGGGAGCTCAGCAGTTCTCCAAGTGCAGCCGGGATGGGGAGGCGGATATAGAGGCCTCTAACCCAGTACTCCACTTCACTACACCCGGAAGCCTGGAATGTCCGGAACAGTCTGAGATTTGGGCAGAGTGTGCTGGGCACTCACCACAGGCCGCGGTGCCTCAGGAACCTGCAATCCCTCCCTGCTTGCAGAGATATCTACAGTCCTCCAGACACATGGAGGGGCTGATGCAGGCACCCCAGATCCGCCCAGCTCCTCCTCTGCACACCGATGCCTAGGCACGGCAGTGTGAAGATTATTTTTGATCTGAATTGTTTAAATATTACCGGAGTTGTTTCTTTTTGTCAGTTTTTATGATTTCAAGAATTTCAGGCTTATGGATTACATTTTCTCCTATGCCCTTTTTTCCTAGGCTTGTTTGGATTGGGATAGAAGTTTGAGATTACATTTTGCTATATCAATTTGTCATTTTTGTATGTTTCTGGGTTTTGAGCTATGTTCCAAAGCTTCCCCTATGTGCTAGGAATGACCTGGCCCAATTTTGTCTCCAGGTCAGACTGCAGGCAACTGCTAGCTGCCTGGAGGTCAATGAGCATGGCCCAGTTAGGACACAAGGGACCTCACATACATCCTCTTGTAATTTGGGATTCTAGGTATGTCTTACCAGTTGGCAAAAAAATTCCAAAGCTTCTTCCACACACTGGGAATGAACTCACACATGTTTGGCTCCTGGAATCTGCAAAGAAAATATCTTAAAAATGCAAATAAACCATAAAAGATCCATCCAACAACTGCAAGATTAAGCAATGGAGGATATACAATTTATTGAAATCAGTAAAAATGATGGTCAGAGAACAAAAGTCATAAAAGTCTTCTTCAAGGATATACTCAACATGGCTCAATAAAGGACTCATGTTGAAGATTCTCAGTTTAAATCAACTGAAAACATGGACAATTAGGAGAAATGGAGAGATATATACATTCTCACTAAAATTAATCTGAAATAAGGGGCTTGTAGTTAAACATATTTATATATAGACAAGTCCTCAGGTTGCTGGCAAGATTTTGATCAGTCCCAGAGCAGCCACTGCCAGGAAGTCTCTCCCCTCAGAACTAGAGAGATGACAAGGATATGAAAAACTCACTCAGTGTAGCATACACCTAGAATAAAATGCTCATCAGCACTTTTAATTTCCTGAAAATAGGGGACATTAACACATCAAAACAAATTTCACTGGCAAATATAGAGGTAAGTGACAGCTCCTTCCACAATAGGCTGACAATTTATTCTTTTCTTTCCTCTACTTTTTGTTTACATTCTTTTTCAAGCAACATAACCAGTAATGGAATCTTCCTCTGTCAAAAGAGGGACCATGAATGGCATTAAGGATTGGTTTTGAAGCACGCAACTACTCCTACTCTACCACTGGTGCAAGAAAACAAGAACCATACCATGTCAATTGGGACAACTACTTCCATTCTATGTGACCAGTAACCAGAAACACAAGCACACCTGAGGTGGGAAGTCAGGAACTCCCTCCAACTTGTGACTCACAGAATAAGGAAAAGGTACTTCTCCACCCTACAGTAAACATCACAAGCACTCATGGGCCAAGAGGCCAGCACTCCCTCTTACTTTTGACAAACAGGATCTGAAAACCACACATAGTGTCAGAAAAGGGAGCATTATAGAATAGAACAGGCTGTGTAAACTCTAGGAGATGTCAATTGCACCACGACTAAGAGCAATTTTGGGATGAATCTTTCTCTGGATTTCACAGCAAACAAGAGACTAATGCAGAGGTAAATAGGATAAGGAGTGGTAGGCAGGTTGAATAGACTGCTGCTGGCAATAGACTGGTCAGATCACCCATATCTGGAGGACAACAACAAACCCATGTTTAATGCAAAATCAATCTCTTACAAAATTAACACAACACTGATTGGAACAATACCACAGAATAGTGGACACCAGAGGAATTTTAGTTCTTCTTTTGTGTGTATAGGCTTTAAATATAATGCCCATTTCTGCCTGTATTTTTCTGCAAATGATGATATTACAGCCTGACAATAAATTTTTCTGGCAAATATAGGTGTGTGTTTATTTTCCAGTCTGGTTTTATTTGGTGTTTTGAATGCTTGTTTAGTAGGGAATAATTTTTAGCTATATTCTTCTATTCTTTTTGTATTGCTTCCAGTCCCTCTTCAAGTACCATGCTGGTTCTTAGAATATCTTCATGTGAGTAAACATTGTACACTAACTTTTCTGATTCACTTCAACAATCATTTGCACTCTCCTTCATCATTTCTCTTCTGCCTTCTTCTCCAGCTTCCCAAAGCTTACATAATTATCCCATGTCCTACAGATTTTCTATGACATTTATTTTCATCTCTTTTTCTGTTTTTCACTGTATATCTCTTAAATCTTCCCACACAGACTGTATAATCACTATACTCAAAGGAAACTCATTCCATACAAGTTCCCAGTTTGTGTTGGGATTCTTGTAGAATTGCCTTTCTCATAGATCTTGCCTTTATGGTTCATGATACCAAGTCAAGATTTACCACAATTTGAAAATTTCTACAATGCACATGAGCCTAATGTTATTGCAAATTGTATACTTTAGCCAGCATGTCATACTTGTAATCAGTTGTTCTCCTTTCTGTAAAAATACTGTGATCATCTGTGTTTATATACATCACAGCTATCCAATACCCAAAATCTGAGGTGAGTCAAATTGATGGCAACATTGCATCCTTAAGAAATTAGAAAAGTAGGATCTCTGGACAGGCACAAAATCCATGAATTTTCTAAACATGGAAGACAAATCTCAATGACACACATTTCCTAAGGAGGATTCAATATTAGTGAGGAAATGATCTAGTTTAAGTAATATATAGAAATCAACACAGGTAAAAATAAAATAAAGTTAAATATTACAAAGTGGCATGATACAGAAGCAAAACCCAACCTGAGCATTCTGGCACAGAAGGAAATGCCCAAGTGAGAATGAAGTAGAAGAAACTGGAAGTCATCCATTAGAAATTTATGAAATGTTTGTCTTGGAAGTTGAAAAATACATGCAGAATACTACAAAGGAGATCAGATCAGGTTAAATAAAAAAGATAACCACATTGAAAGGATACAGTAGACATAGGTTAAAAAACTCATGAAGGATACAGTAGACATAGGTTAAAAAATATTGACCAGCGTGGAAAAACAGTGGAAATCAAGAAAATAGAATATAGGAATAAATGGAATCCATGAGACACATACAAAGATATAGTCAGGAAAGAAAAAAGTTCCATTCAAAGTTGCAAAATCTCCTCAATGAAAGTGAAAACAGAATAGAAGACCTAGAAGAAAAAACTACAGCTAGAAAACATGCAAAGCAAGATCTTTTCAAAATAAGGAGGGATCATGAAAAAGATCCAATAGCTGGAAACAAAATAACATATTGACTTGAGACAATGAAAAACTGGAAGGGAGAACAAATGACATGAAGAAACACTGTTCATAGAAGTAAAGGGAGAAAATTTCCCAAGTATGGATAAAGAATTCCACATAAAATTAAGCATGTAGATCTCAATTTAGTCTGTCAAAATAAGTATACATGAAGCCATACGATAATTAAGATTAAAGAAATTTAGAACAATATCTGTAAATTAAAATTGTGGAGGGAAGAAATAAATCATCTATCAATGAAGCCCATCAGAACTATAGTAGTCTTCTCAACATAAAACCTTAAGTTATGGGGAGCTTGCAGTGACATATTCCAAGTCCTGAAAGAAAATAAATTCCAACCCAGATTGAAGTATCCTGCAAAGCAATCTATCAGGTTTAATGGAGATACACGTTCATGACAAAAACCAACTGATGTAATTCATGACAAAAAAACCAGGAGGGATACCATGTACTGAAAGTTATTTTATAAAGAGATAACAATGCAGAAGAATCCAGCAGGCAGAGCAAGTAGGAAAAACAAGGGAAAGAAGGGAAAGACAAAGGAACCAGCAGCATATAATAGTATGAAAAAGATGAGTCCATTAATCTCAGTTACAACCATCCATGTAAATGATCTCAACTCACCAATCAAAAGTAATAGGCTGGCAGCATGCAGCAAAAAATAGCATTCAACAATATGCTGGGCAAAACTCAAACTCAAAAAGAAATATATAGACTGCAGGCAAAACAATCAAAAATAATATTCTATGTGGCAGAAATGTACAAAACAGTATCAGTAGGAGTCTTATTTGCAGAGATTCTTAATGTCAATTTTAGACAGATCAAAAAACATTTTTCATTAAAAATGCCATTACATTTTTGTTAAAGAAAAAGTTCAAGAAGGGGAGAAAACATCCATAGGTATATAAGTGCCAACTATAAGAGATTGCTAGTCCAGACATACATTTCTGTATGGTCATCCAATTTGCTTGCTAATGACATCCTGAATTCCTTTTTTTTTTTTTTTTTTTTTTTTTTTTTTGTAGAGGGCTGTACAATCAGGCTTGATATTTTATTGCTTGATTTTTATATACAGAGAGGAAACTGGGCAGTTTCTTATGGCTAATTTGGAACAGGAAAATGGAGATTATAGGCAGCCGTTTTAAGAGAAAATTTTTGAGCAAACAGGGCTGAATCAAGCAATTGGTTTAGGAAAAAGAAGTGACCTCAGAAAATTCAGAGGTGTGGTCCAATGGCCAAGACAGCATTAAGCAGTGATACTTTAAAGAAGACGTTTTTCAACTCCATGAATATTTAAGGAAAATCAGATCAGAAATAATCTCCCATGTAAAACATGAATTGTTAAATAGAATATAAGAAATATTGAACATCTCTAAAGAAGACCTACTATAAAAAATAGAGTAGCACTGCTAAATGAAGGAAACCATGAATGAACACTATATGAAAGAATCAGTATAGATAAAACAGACTCAAACAGCTATCCAGGAATTTACAAATTCCATTAAACGCTGCCAAAACCACAGCAATGCAAGTGAAGACAGATTTTGAGACCTTGAAGACAAGATTGCAGCCAATGAACAGAGAAGGAAAGATTTAAAACAACAAGGACTCAGGAAATAACAAAACAACCGTTGCAAGTCTATGCAAAGAAAACAGTGTAAGATTGATAGCTGTCTATGAAAAAATGGTGCCAACAAAAAAAGTTGCTATTTTTAGCACAAGAGACTATTGATAGATGTAATGGCTGAAAATTTTCATTTTCTTTATTTAAAGGAAAAAAAACAAAACAGTATAAGGGTACAAGTAATACAGAATTTCAAAAAAATAAATTGTAAGAAATAACTAGTTAATAGATTACATATTGTCATCTTAGAAATAGTTGTTCACATTATAGGATTAAAGCATACAAAGTGAACATTCAAACAGACTGAAAACAGTTGTGTTAAATGATCCAACAAAAACTTAGAAATATGGTCATCCATCTTACACACCTAAACACACTTGCAGTTGTGTCCTTTAGAGCACTTTCTATCCCTCTCTTTTTTACAACATTTACACATTTTGGGTTTTATTACTACCATAGTTCTTATTACTTTTTTTGGAAGAGAATAAAACCAAATGTGACAAAACAAAGCAGTCAGTCAAAACAAAGGATGGACATAGCACATGATGTAAAACAGAATACAAGGTAAAAAAAGATGGTTAAAAAAATGCCTCTTGCTAACTTAAAAATAATTGCCTATATCATTAGGTATAATAAAATTGAACAAACAGTACAGAACAAGACCAATAAAACCTAAACATTGGAGACATTACAGGACTTCAAAAGAAGTTAACAGTCAAACCAGAATGGGCATCATAGTGAATCTTATTGCCTTCAAAGTAGATGCTTATACCCTCAAACTTGATACCATCAAACAGAACAGAACAGAGTAAAATCAGACAAAACAAGATGGTGAGAGCAATACGGGGCCTCAAATCAAGTTAATAGGAAATCAAAAAATCTACTATATTATATCCTGCTAATTTTTTAAATTTTTCCCTTAATTAAAAAAATGATAAAAAATAATTTTTTATAAAAAAAAGTGGGGGATTGAGATAAAAGAGGACATAACAACACAACAATACAGGTCAAAGCATAACAATTTCAGCAACCTAGTGTTTCACCAGAAGATTACCCGACTTAATAGTAGCTACCATTGTGCATCTTTCCTAGAAATATTTGAGTAAAAATTCATATACTATGACTTCAAACATATCAAGGCAGTGTGAAACCATTCAAGAGGATGAAAGTACTACAGGGTAATCACAACCAGCAAACAGAAAATGAACAATGGTTTCTATATTATCTCTTTGCCTATAATTTTTGTTTATACTATCACATATAATATAATCCAGTAAGACACAACATGATAAAACCAATGGAGACAGAACAACAGCTTGGTGGGACTTCAAAACAAGATGATATTAAATCAGCACTAGCTAGTATGATGTCTTGCTTTCTTCAAAATAGCTGTTCATAACATCACAGGCAATAATATCAAACAGCCCAGAATAAAGCCATTCCAATTAATGAGTGAAAACTTTATAAAGCTTCAAAGTGACATAATGGGGAATTATGATTACCACATATATTTTTATACTTGAATCATTTCTTACAATAGGGAAACTATTCAGTATTCATACATGTGAGTTTGATATATTTCTCTTATGAGTATGGTCTCAAGCTGCATCCATTTATTTATAAATATCTCAATGTGATCCCTCTTTATAGCTGAGTAGTACTTCATTGTATAAAAATACCACAACTTTTTTTATCCATTCCTCAACTGATTGACACTTCAGTTTCCAAGATTTGGCAGTTACAAACTGTGCTGCTATAAACATGGGTACATGATGCTTTCAGTTCTTCTGGGAATATGCCTAGAAGTGGAATAGCTGGAACAAGTGGGACTTCCAATCCCAGCTTTATATATTCTGTTTTTCTTATATTGTTCAACCAAGGATTCTATCTTTTTGTTTAGTTCCTCCAATTTTTTAACTGTGTCTTCTTTAGATATGTTCAGCATCTCGTTCATTTCTATTATCATTTCTTCTTTTACCTGGGAGATTATTTCTAGTTTG